CCCCTCCCTTCGCCCCTTCCCTCTCCTCACCGCCCCCCTCCCCTCCCCTTTGCCTCGAAGGCTTTGTCTCAGGTCTGCAGACATTGTCTCAGGGTCTCAGGGTCTGCAGACATTGTCTGCAGGGGATGGACTGTTCTCAGCTTTGCAGGCCAAGAGGATGTTAGGTGGGCGCTTGGAGCACGGAAGAGAGAGGTCAGGGTCACACCCTCCCAGCGAGGCCTCCAGAAGGTCAGGCCAGGCCTGCTGGGAGCGTGAGGTGTCTGGTGTGCGATCCAGTGCCGCATGAGCGATGCAAAGAATCACACAGGAGTTGGATTGGAAAATGCAGCTTTTAAAAAAGCAAATTAGCGAGAGAGAGAGAGAGAGAGAGAGAGAGAGAATTCACCTCCCCGAGGCAGGGAAGGGACCAAAGCCAGGAAACACGACAATGGCCATGGCTCAAAGAGCACATGGCCACACCAGAGTCCAGTAAGGCAGCGGCAAAATGGCTGGTCCTGGTTGAATCTTTTTTTGTTTTTTTGAGTTAGAGTCTCACTCTGCCGCCCAGGCTGGAATGCAGTGGCACGCTCACAGCCACTGCAGCCCCCACCTGCTGGGCTCAAGCGATCCTTCCACCTCAGCCTCCCAAGGAGCTGGAACTATAGGCATGTGTCACCACGCCAGGCTTATTTTTGGATTTATTGTGGAGACAAGGTCTCACCAAGTTGCCCAGGCTGGTCTCGAACCCCTGAACTCAGGCAATCCTCTTGCCTCGGCCTCCCGGAAGGTTGAGTCCTTTGAACCATATCCCTTGGATGGGGAAGGTCATTTAGGTGATTGGGTGGTGGTCTGCTTCACATCATCACGAAGGGGCAGGTGAGCACAGGTACTGACCTCAGGGGATGGACAGCAGGCAGAGGGGTGGGTTAGTCCCATGATTGCTGCCAGGGTGCTGGGCTAGATGGGCGGAGACAAGGGGAGGGTTTTTCCTGCAAGAGACTTGTCAGACATTTGCACTCCACAAACTCCCTAGCAAAAAGGTGGTCTATTGTCATTTCTTTTTTTTTTTTTGAGTTGGAGTCTGCACACTGGAATGCAGTGGCCGCTCCCGGCCACGGCAGCCTCGACCTGCCGGGCTCCGGCGATCCTTCTGCCTCAGCCTTCCGAGTAGCCGAAACTACAGGCGCGCGCTACCCCGCCCGGCTGATTTCTTGATTTATTGTAGAGATGAGGTCTCACTGCCCAGGCGGGTCTTGAACCCGCGGGCTCAGGCCATCCACTCACCTCAGCCTCCCAAGGCGCGGGATGGCAGGCTGAGCCACCGAGCGTGGCTCTGATCTGTCTTGCACCTGATGGAGATTTGCTGAGGGGGTGTGGGTAGGCTGCCAGCTTGGCCTGCAGTAGAATGCCTGAGCACGTCCTAAAACCTGCCTATGGGAAATTAATCTGTCTATGTCTACCCTGTGCTAGCTTCAAAGCGTGTCGGGGTAAAGTCTGAGCAAAATGACCGTGCTGGGGCAAAGAGGTGACGCTCAACTAAGTTTATTCTAGGTTCCCCTAGATGCCTCCTTTCAGTTGCTTTTATTGAGAAGGTCACAGATATCATCGACACTGAGTGCACTCTTTTGTGATGAGAGCCACGGGGTTCTCCTGGGGGTGACGCTTCGCTGACCTGGGTTCCCGCTATCGCTCCCGTCGTCAACTCCCTGGCAAGCCCTCCTCTGCAGGCTGTTCCCAGCACAGGAACGGGCCCAGCCAGGGAGGCCCCCGAGGACTTGAGTGGCCGACCGCCTGCCTCGGCTCGCTCTGGATTTCTGGGGGTGCCGCGTGCCACTCCTGCACCTCTGCCCTGAGGTCTGTCTCTTTCTCGCTCTCTCTCTCCCAAGCCCTCCGCCATCCCTCTCTCCGAACCTCTCACCAAGTCTGGAGCTTGGGCCCCCTGTGGGCTGTCCTCCAGGGACGGCAGGAGCTGTCCTCCCCGTCGGGCATGACCCCCGCCCTCCTGGACCCCTCACTCGGCCTCCTGTGGAAGCCGTCACTCACCCGGTGTGGACCGAGACTCCGACCCAGCGCCCAGCTCCCCGTGCTCAGGGCCGTCTCGTCCTCGTCACCCCTTGGACTCCACCAACACACATGGGACGCCCACACCGGTCCTGCCCTGACCAGGTGGCTTCCAGGCGCTCCTTGTTCGCACACCCCACAGCCTCAGTTGCAGACCAGGAAACGGAGGCCTAGAAGGCAAACGACCTGCCCAAGCAGACCCGGATGTTAGCATGTTAGCAGTAAAACCAGCCCTGCTCCCGGCTGGTTGCCCGCCTCCGGGGGCCCTCCCAGTCGTGCACCCCCAAGCTGCCCTCCGTGGCCAGGGGCACACCCGCAAGTGGCCTGGTGGCATGGTAGTGGCAGTGCTCGCTCGAGTCAGTCGTTCCACGCCAGTACACAGTGGTCTCATCCCTGCCGGGGCTGGAGGGTGTCCGGTGGGTGGTCAGCGGGCTCTGGGCCAACAGTGGAGCTGATTGGCCGACGGCTGGAGGCAGCCTCCCAGAAGAGCCAGAGGAGCTCAGCATTCATCTCTGGCTGTCGGCAGCTACAGCCATTGTCCCCAGGAAAGAAATGAACATAATCACTCGTTTACAGTGAGAGCCATTTGTCAGGGCTTACTCCCCCAGCCTGAAGCAGACACAGCTGCCTCCTGGTCGCTGAAGGGGGTGGCCCATCTCCCCTGCTTGAGGCAGGGACCGGCCCCCTCTGGCCCTGTCCTGCAGAGCCCAAGGAGGGTTCAGGGCACGGGCCTCGCTCTGGAAGGTAAAGCAGAAGGCAGTGGTGACAGGCTGGGCAGGTGCCAAGGACGGGCGCGCAGACAGGGCGGGCTCTGTGTGTTTTCAGTCCGCGGGTGTCTGTGGTGCGTGGACCACCTGCCACGCCCTGGGCCCTGGACACCGGCAGGGCTGCCCTGTGCTGTCCACCCCTCGGGGAGCAGGGAGATGGTATGTGGCAGGGCCTAGGGACACGGTGCGGGCATGATTGGCCAGCCTGGGGCGGGAGCCAGGGAGAGCTTCCCGGAGGAAAGGGTGCAAAGACCAAGGAGCACAAAGTGAGAGGAAACTGGGAAGCCCAAGAGGTTCCTGAGGGCCCGGTTCAAAGGCAGCACCCTCTGCCCACCAGCTAGATGCCCTCGCTAGTGACGTTGCTTCTCTGAAAGACATCAAGCAGAAGTCACTGCTAGTGACTCCAGGCACAACTCCGGAGCCTGACTGCCTGGATTCAAGTCCATGATCTGGTGTATATTTGCTGTGTGGCCTTAGGCAGGTTCCCTGACCTCTCTGTGCCTCCCCATGTGAAACGGGGAGGGTGGCGGTACCTTCCACATGGGGTCGGCGTGAGAACACAAGGACGGTGCTGTCGTTGCTACAAAACAGGCCAGGCAGCACCTGGGCCACATGCTCTCACCTGTCTCCCCCACACCTGTTCCATCTGGGTTAGGGCTCATTCCCGGCAGGGTCTACTGTGGCACGTGGCACCCGTGGCCCACTCGTGTGGCCGGTCTTGGCTCTGGATGTCACTGGCCGTCACTGTGCCTGTGGAGGCTTGTCCCAGCTGGGCACAGCCCAGGCTAAGGCAAGACAGCAAAACTCTCCAGGGTCCCTCCGTGCAGAGCTTGGGTAAGGAATGGAGACTCGGGGGCCACGGCCCTGTCCCCTTCACCTGAGGGGCCCTGGCCACCATGGAGAGAGAGGCGTCGTCATGGGCTGAATGTTGCCCCTGCCAAAAGGGGGACCGCGTCCTGACACCCAGGCCCCCGCCATGAGCCCGTATCTGGAAAGGGGTCTTGGCAGTATAAGCGAAAGCCTCGCAGCGCGGTCCTCCGGGCTTAGCCGGGCGGGCTCTAAATCCAGTCGCAGGTGTCCTCACGAGAAGCAGGACAGAAGCCACCGGCACACGAGAGGACAGGCGGAGACGCGAGAGGCTGCAGCCACAGCCAGGGAGGCCTGGAGTCTCTGGCAGCACCAGCCACCCCATTTGTGGCAGTGTGGGACTGCAGTCACGGGAAACGAACAGAGCGATAAAGTGAGCCATTGTGCAAAGCCACACGGTTGTCAGAGGCGTCCGGGGACTCGACTGCATCCTGGTCGCCTCGGGACACCGAGCGTTTTCGTGGAGACCCCGGGCGAGTCGGCCTTCTGCTGGCTCTGAGGACGGCGGGAGGAAGTGTCTCCACCAGTGCTGGGCCGGGCAGTTGGCCTCCCAGCGGGTGACGTCCCTCCCGCATGCCCTGCTGGGGCTTCACGGGCCTGAGACACAAAGCCATTCGGAGCAATCCCCTGTGGGTGGGGCGCCCTCCTCTCCAGAGCACAGAGCGAGGGCTGGGCACAGCCGCCTGGTGGGCTTGTGACCGTCTGAAGTCTAGCACAGAGGGACCGTCCAACAGGCTGTCGTCAACACACACACTCATGTCCCCTACAGACATGCGCTCACACACACTCACACACATCCTCTGTAGACACAGACATTCACTCACATGTGTCCTCTTCAGACACACACAGTCACGTGTGTCCCCTATGCAGACACACACATTCGCACATGACCCTATACAAGCACATGCTCACACACACGTGTCCCCTGCATACACACACGTGTTCCCCATGCGGAGACACACTCACACACGTCTCCCACACAGACGCATGCTCACACACACGCACATGCTCCCAGACCTGGCAGCTCCCGTCTCCCGCAGGCCGAGCAGAGCCTAAAGCGGACTCAAGGCCTTGATGTGGAGCCCTGGTCCCTGCAGGGCCTGGACTTGGTGCTGTTTCTCCCCCATAGCTGGACTCTGGCCAGGGACCCCATGCAGCCGTGGAGTCTGGAGGCCGTGGTTCCCGCACAGTGAGCCGGAGACAGAGTGGTGTCACACGGCAGGAAGGGGCTGGGGTGGCCGGGACTGTCCATCCGGCTGGACCCTCGCTGTAGCTCGTCTGCAGAGCTGGGCCCCCAGACGGCAGGCGACACAGACAGGCATACTACGTGGATTCGCCACGCTCTCCGAGTGCCCTGGAAAAGCCGAGGGGACGCAATGGCATGACCCACTTGGCTCCTAACTCTGCCTGCCTATGTCGATAAGACCTGGTGGGTCTCCAGGAAAAGAGCCTGGCCCTCTCACCCAGCCTCCGACGAAGTCAGTCCCCGGGCCCCAAGCGTCTGGCTCCAGGGCGACCCGGGCATCCCCAGCCTTCACCGGGAGGAGAGCCTCGAGAGCGGGCGTCCGGGCCTGTCCTGACGTGACAGCGGGCATCTCGTGCCTGTCTTCATGGTGACAGTGGACATCCCCTGCCTGTTCTCATGGTGACAGTGGGCATCCGTGTGCGTCCTGACGTTGGCAGCGGGCATCCATGCCCGTCCTGACAGTGACCGTGGGTGTCCACGCCTGGCCTCGTGGTGACAGCGGGCATCCCGTGCCTGTCCTGATGGTGCATTTTGAAGCAAACAGCTTGCTTTCTGGTCTCACAGATCTCCCGTGGGGTCTGCCTGTAGTTCACCCACATCCACTTTGGTTACTTGGAGAATGAGATTCGGAACTTGAGCACTGGAGATGTTGAGAGGGGGTTTCGATTTTGAGTCACCGCTGAAAAGAGATGAGAACATGGGCGGAGGCGAGGTATCTTGCGGGAGGACCAAAGTGTGCCCTTGGGGGTCGGAGGGGGAACTGTGCCGGGCAGAACCCGGCCCAATGACAGGCGCGTCCTGAACTCCAGAACCACGTAGATGGCACGTCCGGCTGCGGGTGGAATGAAGGCTGCCCTTCGCAGACAGGAAGAGGCCCGGGATCATCTGAGTGACCCCGGCGTTGTCACAGGGTCCTTAAAGCAGAACAGGGAGGCAGGAGGGAAGGGCCAGAGGGAGAAAGGCCTAAAGACGGAAGCCGGCCAGAGAGATGCCACCTCGCTGGCCTCGAGGATGGAGGAGAGGCCAGCAGCCACGGACCGCGGGCACCGCTAGAAGCCGGAAGAGGCAGGAAAGGAATTTTCCTGGAGCCTCCAGAGGGAACAGAGCCCCACTAGCGCTTGACGGTAGCCCGGCGGGAGCCGTGTCAGACTTCGGCCCCAGAACTGAGAATACGTTCCTGTTGCTTGAGGCCGCTGGGCTCGTGGCCGTCCGCTAGAGCAGCCGAGGAGACGAGTTCCCCGTCCTCACCCACCCCGTCATGCCAGCATCACCGCGGCATCCTCTCTGCGCAGGCCCTTGCAGCCCCACCTCGGGCCCCTCCTGGAGTCGTCAGGGTGGAGCGAGATGACACGTCCCCCCCCCAAAGGCACGTGGGAACGGCGGCGGGTCATGGCTGTCTCCTCCTTGCAACCTTTGACTGTAGGACTCCGAGCCTCAGTTTCCTGCGATGCATGCTGCCTGTGGAATGGCTTCTGGCCCCCAGGAGGCCTGGCCAAGTGGCGGGCATCTTGTGTCTGTTCATGCCACCCCGGCGGGTCTTCAGTGTGGGCCAAAGCTCTCTGTGCAATAAGAAACTTACAGAAGATCCTGTAAGTTCTTCATGGAAGGGAGCCATGAGGTCGAGCTCGATGAAATTGCCGATATTGGCACATTCCTTTTTCTAATGTATATAAACCTAAGGTTTTTCGATTTTAGAATCGTGGGGTACAGGCGAGGATTTGTGACATCGGTATGGTGTGTGAAGGCGAGATTTAGGCTTCAGACAGGCCCTCCCACACACCCAGGGGTGAGCCTGGTACCCATGGGGGGTTTCGCTGCCCTCACTCCCCTTCCCCAGCAGTGCCCAGCATCTGTCGTTCTCATCCTTGCGCCCATGTGCCCAGCGTTTAGTGCCCACTCAAGAGCGAGAGCATGTGGTGTTTGGCTTCTTTGTTTCTGTGCTAATCCACTTAGAAGGGTCTCCGGCTGCACCCGTGCGGCTGCAAAGGAATGCTTCCATTTTTTTTTATGGCTGTGTAGTATTCCATGGTACATGCATCACATCTTTAAATCCAGCCCACCGTCAAGGGGCACCTGGGGTGGTTCCTTCCCTGTTTTGCTATTGTGAATAGTGCTGCGATAAACACACGCATCGCACATTTCCTGTGGGCCAGCTTGTAGCCACTTTTGGGTGGTTGTCATGGGCAGGCAAGATGGAGCCCTATCCGGGGCGTACTGGGGTCCACCTGAACCCTCCTGTCCTCCCCACTTGGCACTTTCGTAGGGGGCTTGAGCTGGGGAGTCCCCAGAGGAAAGCCCTGAGGCACTTCTGTGGGTCCAGGGCCTGTGAGTCCCATAGAAGTGGTGGGGGAGGAGGTGTGAGCTTTGAATCGGGAACTCTGGGGCGAGGGTGGGGCCCCTGTGATCACAGGCGTGTCAGGACCAGGGCTCCACTCACCATTTGACAGCTGGTGTCTGGACCTGGGAGCACACCTGGGTGGCGAAAACCACGCATAACCAGCTTCCCGTCGAAGCTTGGCGGGGGTCTATTGGGTCCCTGGCTCCTCGAAGCCTTGCTCGTCTCTAGAATGCGCCCAGCTGCGGGCCAGTGTGCAGGTGGATGAGGCCGTGTGTGCAGAACTCATAGCGGGGTGCTGGAGCAAAGCGGCCGGCAGGTCCTCAGTGTAGGGTCACAGCCCTTCCTGTCTTTTTGTCCCAGGTCAGAGGGGTGAAAGGAGTCTTTCTGGCAAACCAAAAAGTTGACGGGAAGGTGATGACGCTTATCACCTACAACAAGGGCCGCGACTGGGACCACCTGAGGCCGCCCAGCACAGACATGAACGGAAAACCCACCAACTGCAAGCCTGTAAGTACTTCCGCTCACATCACACGCCCTTCGTGGGGTGGACACAGACGGCACTGCAGGAACTCAGGTCAGGGGTGGTGATGTCTGAGAAGGACCCACTGAGGCACATAAACCACCTGTTTCTACTGGGTGTGGAGGAGAGGGTCAGAAGAAACTCCTTGCTTCACAGAAAACTTAACTGGAGGTCAGAAAGGGAAGGGTGTCAGTTAGCTTTGCCAGGATACTGCTGTGTAATAAGCCACCCCAAAACACAACCCCTTATTCTCGTGGGTCGGCTCAGCAGGGGGTCTGGGCTGGGCTCAGCCAGGCTCAGCCGGGCAGCTCTCCTAGGCTCGGCTGGGCTCGGCTGGGCTCAGCCGGGCAGCTGTGCTGATCTTGGCTGGGCTCACCTGGCCGAGTCTGCTGGGCTCGGCTGGGCTCAGCCAGGCTTCCTCTCATGCCTGGGAGTTGACGGCTTCGGGCTGGTCTCTTCTCTGCTCATCTTGCACCCCCCGCTGGGACAGCCCCGTTCTCAGGTTGACCGCAGAGGTGTGAGAGGATGACCAGAAACAGGCAAGCACTTTTCAAACCTGCGATGTCACACCTGCGAACCCTTATGGGCCGCCGTCAAGGATCAAGGCGGTACACTCCGCCCTGGAAGTGAGGGCAGGGGGTGGATGTTTGCTTCCAGTCGGAGCCAAAGGCGGGTGCCACCACAGTCAGCATGTGCCAGAGCTGGGCCAGAACCTGAACTCCTGAGCTGGACCCTCACCCCAGGGGCGCCCTTCCACATGGATGCCAGTGCAGACTGGCTGAGCCCCTTGGCCGCCTAGGGTGGGGAGGAGGAAGGGATTTTTCCTGCATGGCGGCCGGGATCCAGGGGGTCCACAGGCCCTTGCGGGGCGGAAGGAAGAGCAGCGTGCTGGGGCCCTGGCCACAGCTGGCCCTGGCCCAGGTGAGCACTTGGTGACCAGCAGCTCCAAGGGAGGAAGGGGCTGAGTGGGCCCTGAGAGTCTGACCAGGCTGCCGCTCCACCCCCACCCCTTCCCTCCGTGAGACCCGGCCTCTCCCGTGGCCTCTCCCCTGCAGGCCATGGGGAGCCCGCCACCACCAGCACCTAGCACCCTGCCCAGATACTGGGCCGCTCAGGTTGGGGGAAGGGCCCAGCCCTGGAGCTGGAGGAGTTGTGGTCTCGGCTCCCCCGCAGACTGTGGTCTTGCGCAAGCCATCTCGTGCCTCCGAGCCTCTGTTGAAAAGGAAGGTGATAAAAATCTCTTGTGGCGTGGGGGTGAGGATGAAATGGAACGAAGCAGAGACCCGCCGTCCCTGGCACAGCGCAAGCAGGCGAGGAAGACCAGATCCCTTCCCTTTGGACCGCTCCCTCTTCCCACAGTGTCCCCGAGGCCTAGAATGCCCTGTCCCTCTTCCTCATCCAGCAAGCTCCTACTGACACCGGAAAACCCTACCCACATGCCCCCTCCGCTTGGAAGCCTTCACTGGGCATACTTGCTTCTCTGTTTCTTGCTGTCGACTGTAAGCCCCTCCAAGTCTGGAACCACACACTGGGGACACCTGAACTCATCTGTCGCTCTGGCTCAGTTTCCTCATGTGTAAATAGAACAATGGGGGGTCTGTTTTTACCAGATTCCTTATTTTTTTATTTTTTAATATATATTTGTTATTTTAAAATTGTGGGGTACAGTTAAGGGTTAGGTATACAAATATGCCTCGTGCAGGTACCCTTGTCGATGAGGTGTGCCCCCTTTCCCCAGACAGATATTGACTACCGTTAATCCCACCTCCCTTCCCCTCCCTGTCCCCCCCCATAGCTTCCCACCACTGCCAATCCTTTTCTTATAGTATTACAGTAGTTGTTTAGGGTCCACTTATGAGTGAGAACATGTGATACTCAGATCTGTGTTTCTGTGAGAGATCACTCAGTATTATAAACTCTAATTTCATCCAGGGTGCTGCGAAATTTTAAAAAATGCCGCGAAATTTAAAAAATTGTGTATAAACATATACACAATGGAATATTACACAGCCATAAAAAAGAACAAAATCATGGATTTTACAGGATTCTTCATTCGGCAAGTGCTGCATGCCAGGCGCTGATCTGGGCGTTCAGAATACACCAGTAAACAAAACAGAGACGGTCCCAGTGGCGAGGGGATTCTGCCTGGCATACAGGGCTCAGAAAATGGTGGTGGGCGCCCTGCCGCCGCGCCTTCCAGCCCCCATGTCGGCGCCCAGGGCCATTGGGTTGAGAGATGAACAGAATCAGTTCATCTTCCCCGAGAGCCCAAAGCCTGGAGAGCCAAGGCAAGGCTCTGTGGCCTCAGGGTGGTGGCCGCGTGCGCAGGGACAGCCCCTTGCCCTGAGCCAGGCACCAGCTCTGACTTCGCACGCTTTTCTTGGGGCCTGTCGCAAGCCTGGCTTCTGCTGGTGACCCCTGTCGACCTGCAGAGAATTAATGACCTGCCCTTTGTAAAACCGCTTGGGAGAACAGACTTGCCGTGAAAGGGCTAATTTCAGTATCACCCTCTTCTCTGCGATTATGCAGTGCGGTGAGGAGACGATCTCTGTGGGATTTTTGTTCCAGCCTTAAAATAATGAAAATAGGAGCAGGCTGGCAAGCGTGTGGCCCCAGGCTGGCATGGAGTGCCCACTTGGGCACCAAGGCGGGGCAACAGCGGGCACAGGGGTTCCACGCAGTGCAGCAGATGTGAAGGTAAAGCCTCGGAGTCTGGAGCCCGGTCTATCCGGTGTTTGTGGCCGCGGCATCTGGAAGGGGAAAAGGCAGGATGGGACACCCTCAGTCACACATCCGTTACCAAAACACCAGGGGTCTGGGCAGGGTCCTGTGTTCCACACGGAGAGCCTGACCAGTATTGCCGGAGAAGAAATCTTTTTATTTGGTTGGTACTCGTCAAGGAGAAGGGGAGATTCCTTCTCAAATAAGTCTCCACGCCCAACTGAAGTCAGGGGTTATACGGTAGGGTGGGAACGTAGAAAAGAGGAACTGGGGTGGGGGAGGAAGAAAGGTGGGTGGACAAGAATGGGGAGGGGTCGGGAAGAGAATTTAGTGAGCAGTCATTGGGGAGGGGTAAGGAGGAGGGGTTGGTGAACAGGAATTGGGAGGGGTGAGAAACAGAAATTGGGGAAGGGTGGGTGAAGTAGGGCCCGAGCAATTAAATGACAGCCCACCAACTCAAATTAACAAAGGAGAGGTTTATTAGTCAAGGCTCTGCTGGCCAGCGACCACTTGCTGGACACAAGTTCCAAAGCAAGGGGCTCCATCCTGCAGCAAAGGATTGACTTAAATAGCCCTTGACCGCACTCTGGAGGCCTGAGCTATGTGTATCAGGGGCTTTTCTTTGATCTGACCGCAACCCCCTGCTGGCGCAAGCAAGCGAGTAAGTTTACAGAAGCAGATGTGGCTGGTTATGCTGGCGTAAGCAGATACGTTCTCCTAGTTAACTACACAATAGAGGAGAAGTTTCCAGGGAGGGAGTTATGGCTGTCCTAGGGGTCAGGGACACTTCAGAAGCCCAGGGGCAGAAGTTCCTGTTCCTCTTTTCGGTGGGGAAGACGGGTTGGTGAACAGGAAACAGAGAGGGGTGAGGAACGGGGTTTGGCGGACAGGAATTGGGAAGGGGTGCGGAAGAAGAGTTGGTGTCTCATTTTTCTGGACACTGTTATCTGTCGAGTTTCTGTTCCTTAGGCCTGGGGTTCGGTTTCCTGAGAGAAAGACTCAGATAAGACAAATGTAAGTTTCAAGCTTTAAGACCAGGAGTGTCCATTCCTGTGTTTATTCAAAAGAGAATGCAACCGTCATTCTATGGGGCATTGGGCCGGTGACATGTCCTCTCCATGAACAGGGCAGACTGGCTTACGGCTTAGTTCTCATCATAAAAGCGTTCCTGCTTATTGGCGAATCCTTGAAAAATGCAAAAATTCATAAGAATGGACATAAGGCATAACTGGAGTCCTACCACCCAGGGGTGACCGTCACACAAGTTTTCCTCTGCAATACTTTAGCTCCTACGCATGTTAACCATAGACACGGGGGAGACACCAGTAAGCGGGGAGGCAGGGAGGGAGGTGAGTGTTCAGAAACTTCCCGTTGGGTGCGATGTCCCCTATCTGAGGAATGGGCTGCCTGAGACCCAACCCCCACCAGTACACAGTATGTCCACACGACAAACATGCACTGGTACCCCCTTAGTCTGAAATGTAAGGGTGGGGAAAGCCGTCATCGGGATCCCTCCGTGCATGTGACCTTCCAACCCTTGATGTTCTCATGACTCTGGATGATGCCTCTTTCCAGGCGGTTCTTCCAGCCCCTGTCTGAGAATGTGTCCTTCCAGCCATGGGGAAACGCAGGAATTTCTTTAGCAGATGAGTGGTGTGATCGATCTGTTTTGGGATGAGCACCGCAAGAGGGTTTTGAATGTTTTCCTCTTGAATTCAGAATAAAACCGCGTTCCTTCCTTGTGCGGCCTACAGTAACGTGTCTTCGATGTGGGCTGAGCAGAGAGCTGGGCGTCCAGGTGGCTGAGGACATGGCCTCTTGTCCTCCGTCCTTCTGATGGGCTTTGGTGTCTTGCTGGACACTTCCTTAGGGCACTGCTGGCCTTGTCTGCAGAAGGGGCAGAGAAGAGGGAGTCTTGGGGACAGTGTGAGCCTCACCCCGCCTCCGTGTCCTCCCCAGTCCTGCCGGTACCTGGGCCCACCTGTCAGAAACAGAGTGTTCAGCACCAACTTCTGTGGCACCAACTGCCCCTGGGATCTCCCGCCCTCATCCTGGGGGCCTTGGAGGACCCACATCTCTGCCCACATGCCCCAGAGGGGAGCCCTGGTGCTCCTGCTGTCAGCTGGCCTGTCACCTGTGCAAGGTGTCCAGGTGTCCTGTGTGTCGGCACCCCCAGGCCTGCCGGGGTCTGGCCAGGTCTTCATCTGCTGACCCAGCCTTGCTTGAGAGGGTGGGGGCCAGCCTCCAGCCGTCAGACACCAGCAGAGCACCTGCGGCTGCCCTAGGATCAGGTGGGAAGACACCTGGGTGGCCATCAGCAGGCCCCTAAGGGTACACAAAGGCTCAGTAGCTCTGCCTGTGTTTGCCAGCGGCCTGTGGGCCGCAGCTGACCACAGCAAACCCTGAGGAGGGTTCCACCTGTAGCCCAACAAGTGTCCAGCAATGAGGACCGGCTGCCAGCCGTGAGGGGCAGGGAGGAGGCATCCAGGGACCATGAAGCCACGTCCCCGACTTGACGGTGCCCCCGCACACACAAAAAGCCATCTGGTAGGCCTGCTCACCAGGGGATCGCAAAAGGTTGACAGACCAGCCCAGGAGCGCTGGCCCCTCCAGGGCCCACCTGACCCTCCAGGAGACCCTAGGTCCCCAAAGCAGGACCGAGCCATAGTGACCTAGGATGGACACGCTGCCACAGGGACCCTGTGCCCCGTCCCTACTGGGGCTCCTTCTTCGCCTGGTTGGAACTTCCTTCTTCTGCATGGACGCCCTTCTGTGCCTAGCAAGGTCACGCGGCCTCTCCCGCCAGCCCCCTCTTTTATGTATGCCTGGTACGTCCAGGTGGGCAGGGGGACGGGACTGAAAGTGATGCCAAGTGGCATGGGTCGAAGTGGTTCACGAGTCCTTGGTTCACTCCCAAAGGAATTTCAGAGCGAGACTCAGAGAGGTTTAAAGGACAGTTTGTCAGAAAGAAGTGGCACGTTCAAGAGAGGACGCGGGTGGCCTTGGGACAAGGGCACCCCCCTTCTGTTAACAGAGAGCTTTACGGATTTCCAGAATGAGGTTCAAGCAACCTGTTTCTAAGCCCAGCTTTGATCACAGGCGTCGATTCTTATTGTTTTACTCCCCAGTTTTGCCCGTGTCACGAGGAACTTTTGAGATAATAGGAAAGTTGCTCCTTAATTATGTTTGCTCTTACAGCACCGTGCTTCGGTATCCCCAGTAACTACTGTCCTGTTCCTGGTCCTTGTAGCCAGCCACCCCATCTTCCAGGGTCCGGCCTGGATTTCAGTCAGTGTGTAGTTGTTTAAAAGAGTTATTTCCCGGTAAGACGGTGTTCAGATGCAGGCACCTGACCGTCTGGATTCTGAATGATCTAAGCCTGCCTGTGAAAACCTCACTGTCTCTATCTAGGTGATGCTGGCCATCCTCCTCGGAAGGCCTCACCACAGCCATTAGCTCACAGACCTGCTTTTCAATGGTAAGAAGTCAGGACAAGCTATCGGAAGGGGTGACGCCTTAATGGCTCACGGGTCTGTCTCTGTTCAACCCAAGTGTTCCTGGGACGCTCTCAAGGCTCTCCTGGGTGACACAGTGCCCAGGGTCCTGCCATCTTCAGTCCTGGGGAGGGTCTCCAGCCCCCGGTCACCTTCAGGATGTGCCTCTGCCACTGGCTCGGGGTCTTCTTTGGGCTGAATTTGTCACCTTTTATTCATTTTTGTGGTTTCTAATAGCTATATGGAGATCGCATTCGCAGACCACACGATTCACCCTCTAAAGAGGTTTTCGGTGTGTCCACAGAGTTGTGCAACCATCACCACCATCCATTTTAGGATATTTTCGTCACCTCAAAAAGAACCCAAAAGCCTGGGCTGTCACTATCCCTCTCCCCCACTGCCCCCAGGCCCTGGCAACCCTCATCTACTTCCTGGCTCTGCCAGCTCTCCCTGCTCTGGACTTTGCATGTGAATGGAACCATATGCTGCATTGTGCAACAAAGGACATTTAAAACACTGGTGCACCCGGGAGCAATGGCCCAAGCCTGTCATCTCAGCGCTTTGGGAGGCCGAGGGGAGAGGTTTGCCTGAGCCTGGGGGTTCAAGACCAGCCTGGGCAACTTGGTGAGACCTCGTCTCTATAACAAATCACCAAAAAAAAAAAAAACTAGCCGGGCGTGGTGGCATGCATCTATAGTTCCAGTTACTTGGAAGGCTGAGGCAGACGGATCGCTGAAGCCAAGAGGTCAACGCTGGGGTGGCTGTGAGTGTGCCACTGCACTCCAGCCTGGGCGACAGAGTGAGATGCCGACTCAATAAGATACAATAAAATAAAATAAGCTGGGTGTGGTAGCTCGCGTCTGTAGTTCCAGCTACTTGGAAGGCGGAGGCGGAAGGATCGCCGGAGCCCAGCAGGTTGAGGCTGCGGTGGCCTGGATTGTGCCACTGCACTCCAGCCTGGGCGACAGAGTGAGACTCCAACTCAAAAAATAAATAAATAAATAAAGACTGGTGGGGCGTGGTGGCTCAGCCTGTAACCCCAGCACTTTGGGAGGCCGAGGCGAAAGGACTGCCTGAACCAGGGGGTTCAAGACCAGCCTGGCAACTTGGTGAGACCTCGTCTCTACAATAAATCACAAAAACTAGCCGGGAGTGGTGGTGTGCATCTGTAGTTCCGGCTCCTCGGAAGACCGAGGCGGGAGGATCGCCGGAGCCCAGCAGGTCGAGGCTGCGGTGGCCGGGCGCGTGCCGCTGCACTCCAGCCTGGGCGACAGAGTGAGACTCCGACTCAAAAGACAAAATATAAGAAACAAAACACCGGTGCAGATGAGCAAAGCCCACCTGCCAACCGGTGCCGCCACCTAGGGGTGTCTGATCGGATCAAGACCCAGTTTACTGAACGGCTCAACTTTTAATTTAGGGTCATCTATGTAAAATGTACTTGGTTCACAGTCCAGAAGAAAGTGTTTTAAAAACATAAAATAGGGCAGCCCCCTCAGGTCCTCTCCCATTGTGGGAGCTTTTCTGTCCCTTTAACCTGGTTTCTCAAAAAAAAACCCATAAATTGAAGACAGACGGCATCACTCAGTTTCCATAATCCGTATAACATGGTCATGATAACGGGATTCTGGAATGACCCCCCATAAGGTGTAGGCAGTGAGCACCACTGTCTCTTGCAGATGGGGAAGCTGAGGCCCAAAGTTGCCCATAAGATGAGTGGCGTCTCCTAAATTAAATTTGGATTTCTGGGTGCCAAGTTCTAGCGTATTTCAAAACGAGATTGTTTCTAGAAACAAATATTTTAAAGCAGGCAAAGAGACTGTTTCCCTTTTTTATAAGCAGGCAGCTAGGTAATACCTTGCCCAGGGGAAAGGCTGGACCCTGACTCTGTCCCCAGAAGCTGTGCTGGGTTAAACCGGATGTCCTTTGGAGCACAGGTTATCGCCCCATCTCACAGAGGGAAAAACTAAGGCACAGAGATGCCAAGCACTTTTCCCAAGACCACACAGTCAGTAAGAGGAGGCACGAGGACTCCACGCCCTGCCCCGTCTGTGACCAGGCCTGAGGACTGCCCTGCCTCCCTGTGTCCTGTGGAATCCTCTGAACTGGGGAAATCAGAAAGGCTGACTCCAGAGTCATTACCCCGCAAGCCCTTTTGGTGCCTGCTGGGTGGGTGAGATCTCTGGGGGACTCTGCCAGCCAGACCTCTGAGACCCAGCCTCTCAGGCTGCCGGAAGGAGGACAGAAGAAACAGGGGTCTCCGGAGCCAGTCCTGCTGTAACTCTAGCACAGCGAACTCACCCTCTGCCTCTCCAAGTGAGAGGGTCTTCTGGGTGTCCCGTAAGATGCTCCCAGTAAAGGTTCTGGGTGGATGAATGGATGATTTGTGAACTTGGGCTACGTAGGCTCCAGGAAACTGTGAAGCCCTCCCACCAGGACCCATGAGCCCTCCCACCAGGACCCATGAGTCCTCCCAGAGAGAAGCCACACTGGCTGCGCCATGAGCAGAGGTCCACCCCCAGATGCTGTAGAGGCCCTCACCTAGCCTAGAGAACCAAGCCATCCTCCTGGATGCTCACATCCTCCCTTGCACCTCCTATACCTCCAGGGCTCCAGGCCATCAGCAAAGCCACCTGGAAACCATCCTTGTCCTGGCCACCCTCCACTTAGCCGTTAGCCCCAGCACCTGCTTCCCCCGCCCCACACACTCCCCCCGTGCGTTCTTGGCCCTGCCTTTGCACCCAAAGAGCCACAGAGGTGGATCTGACCTCAGCCTAGTTTTCCTAAGGACACTTGACCCACTTGCTAATGTCGCTTCTCTTCTCCTTGCAGCCAGACTGCCACCTGCACCTACACCTGCGCTGGGCAGACAACCCCTATGTATCAGGCACCGTGCACACCAAGGACACTGCCCCAGGCCTCATCATGGGTGCAGGTAGGTGACAGCCATCACAGCCGGCTGGGGGTGTCTTTACAGCATAGCTCCAATCTCAAGGGTAAAAATGGATGGCCATGGGCCTGGGGCCATTAGAGGGCAGTGCCACTGCATCTCCAGGGAGATGGCAAAGTCTGAGGGGTAAATGCATGGCCACATATGGGCATAGGATGCTCGTTGACTGAATGTAAGGATGATAGACGAGAAAAAGAATAAGTGGATGGATGGATAAGTGGATGACGGATAGATGGGTGGGATGGATGGGTGAATGGTGAATGGATGGATAGATGGGTGGATGGAGGGGTGAACAGAAGAATGGATGATGGATGGATGATGGATGGATGCATGGATGACGGATGACGGACGGGTGGCGGATGTCAGGTGGTGGATGGATGGGTGATGGGCGGAAAGACAGAGAGGTGGATGGACGAATGGCTGGCTGGGTGGTGGGTAGGTGGGCGGGTGGGTGGGTGGATAACAGACAATGGATGGTGGATGGAAGGATGGATAACTGGATAGATGGATGGAAGGACGTCTGGGTGGATGATGGATAGGTCGGTGAATGGATGGATCGGTGAATGGCGGATGGAAGGGAGGATGGACGGGTATGGGTGGAAGGCTTGATGATGGAGGGATGGATGGATATGTAGATGGCCAACGGACGGATGGTGGGGGGATGGATGGATCACGGATGATGGATGGATGACGGATGCTGGTGAATGAATGATGCATAAAAACACGGATGGATGGAAGGATGGACGGATAAATGGCGGATAAATAGGCAGATGGATCGACGGATGGATGGTCGTGGGAAGAGGGACGGGTAGATGAATGGAAAGATGGAAGAATAAATAAATGGATGGATGATGGATGGGTAGCTGGACGGGTGGGTGGGGGGGATGGATGACGGCTAAATGGGCAGACGGGTGGATCGATGGCTGGAGAGCGGACGGATGGGTCGATGGCTGGAGAGTGGATGGACGGTGGGTGGAAGGCTGGATGAGTAGGTGACGGATGGGAGGAGGAAACGGGTGGATGGATGGATGGATGATGAATAGAGGAGTGGATGGAGGAGGGGTGGATGGATGATTTGCATCATGGCCGGCATTTTTGGTCCCTAAAGAAAACTCTAGCTTAGTGGGGGGGAGAGATACATACACAACTAGCCATTTGTTAAAAAACAAAATTATAATTTGCATATGTATCTGTCTCCCCCACTAAACTAGAATCTCCTTCAGGGATCATTAAGTGTCTGTTCATCAAATAATACCATAAAACAAGGCTTGTTTGAGTCAGAAGAGTCGTTCAAACTATAAAGCTGGGCCACCGGAGTCCCCTGCCTGGTGTGTGGAAGAGCCAGGCAAGACTGCATGCCCACTTTGAGACGGGGCCAGTGACAGTCCAAGAGGGGATGTCCCCTGCCCCATTACAGCGCAGGGACAGCCAAGGCCTGGGCCCAGAGCTCATGTCTTCTGAGCCCAGACCCCGTCTCCTGGTTTGCTCTGGCGCTGTCTGCAACACGGACTGGGTGGCCAAGTGACCAAGGGCCGACAGCTGGCTGGGTTTGGGCCCCAGATTGACCAAGGCGGGGCCTGGCCCAGGGTGGGCCCTCGGAGGTCGTTGGTGAGTGAGTGAGTGAGTGAAGGAACAAATGAATGAATGAATAGCCACACTGCGATGGCAGGAATGGCCTTCTGGGCGGAAGAGGGAACTTGAGAATCCAGAATGACTGGGCCAGAGCTCATGCAGAGGCTAGGCGGTGGAAACGCCGTAAACCTTGCTGGGTTTCTGACCACAGAGGCCTTGCTTGTTATTCTGAGGCGGAGCGATGCCACTTTGGAGAGGGGGAGGCTTTCCGGGACACACCCCGGAAGACAGGATTGCAAACACACGCCTCCAGCTTCAGAGGTCCCTCTGCGTGCTCTCCATCCTTCCGTTTGTCATCTACCCATCAGAGACAGCCAGCCTCTAGGTTTCAACTCAGCTCCCGCCAATCAGGTTCCACACCCCGTGCTGGGCACCTCCAGTCCGGGGGACTTGGTTTGCTGGGCCTCTTGGCAACGACATACTTACACGCACGGTCTTGACTGGCTGAAACCCTAAATTCTTGGTGGAAATGCAGCAGGCAGATTTCAAATGTTTCCACTTCTCAAAGGCCTTGAATGCCCAGAATGATCGTCCCGGGCCCCCAGGAGAGCTCCACGCACCCCTGAATTGTCCCACCTCGCTCTGTGGAGGGGTGTCATTGCAGCCTCCCTTGTTCCCTCCCTGCCTCCCTGTCCCTACAAGGACAGAATGCTCCACGTACATTCTGTTCTGTTCCTTCTTGTCCTGGGCGGGGCTTTCCTCCAGGATGGAGCCATCCGTACAAGGCGGGCCAGCGGATGTGTACATTTTTTCATGCTCTTGCCATCCCCGAGCACCTTCTGGGAGCAGGAGGGGGTAGTGGGTGAGCTCGGTTCCTCGGGGACTGGAAGTCGTGGGAGCAGCGACTGAGCAGGAATGACCGCTCTGTTCCTCTGGCTGAAGGAGCAGAGGCAGGGTGGAGAGGCAGTGCACTTTCCTTCGGGGAGCGCCCACTGTATACCAGACCTGGTCAGCACTGAGGAATCAGGGCCCCGACCTGGTGGGGAGAGAAGGCGCAAGGAGACACCAGAGCAGCAGGGTGGGGATGCAGCAGGGCGTTTCTCCCTGGGTCGCCTCGCCCCACCCTGGAGGCCTCAGTGTCCCCTCCGCAAAATGAGGGCTCTGTCCAGCCTTTCTGCTGTGACAGCCTGCGCCGTGTCTGTGAATCCCCCTTCCTTTCCTCGTGACAGTGGAATGACTGGCAGCCTGACAGCCATGGTAGACAAAGCAAGGAAAACAGATAGCATCTCTTAAAGCCAGACTTGACGTCGCTGAATTGACGGGCTGCACGTGCGTCTGCTCTGTGCACTGACACAGCACATCCACGCACCTCCGCCGGGAGGCACCTGTCCCGCACATCTGCCGGCGTCTGGAATAACAGAAGAGAGAAGGCACCCCTGCTTTCTCTCCTCTCTCCTCACTCGTCCCTTCACTCATTCACTTCCTCATTTCATTCATTCAGCAACACCTTTTGTTTGTCAGGCACCCTGCACCTCAGGAGAGGGGGCGGGCATGGGACACCTACCTTCCACACCTGCCCTGCCCCTCCCTCTGTGCTTGGCCTGCCCTGGTCCCTTCCTGGTCCCTTCTCTCGGCTGGGTCGGATTCATCTCTCGAGGCTCAGCTCCAAGGTTGCTTCTGTCTGAGTCTCTCCTCGATGGCCCTCCTCCACGGGTCCACTGTCCTGACTCCGTGTCCAGTTGCACGGTCACTCTCTCCTCCTGCTGGACTGAGAGCTCTCAGGGAGCAGGGCTCGTGGTTCAGTCAGCTCAGAATTCCCAGGGCTCAGCACAGGGCTGTGCAGAGAGTCGGCCTCAGCTAATGCTGGTGAATAAATACAGGAGTGAATCAGGGGTTGGAGATAGTGAAGAGATAATTGGGTGGATGGAGAGATGATGGTCGGATGGATAATGGATGGATGGATGGGTGGATGGAAGCATAGATGGGTGGATGGATGGATGGATGAATAAATGGGTGGATGTGTGGGTGGGTGGATAGATGGATGGAGGGATAGAGGGATGAATGGATGGGTGGATGGACTGGTGGGTGGATCGACGGGTGGGTGGGTGGATGGATGGGTGGATGGATGGGTGGATGGACTGGTGGGTGGATCGACGGGTGGGTGGG